GCTTGAGAATATTGTATGATGGAATAAAGCAAAATGGCTCACTAAACTGTCTGCGCTTCTTTATTATGAAGACCAGTCAGTTCATGCAATTTTGAACTCGATTTTCACTACGAGTCATCGATCCAGAAACAGTCTCTTTGTGCTTTAGTACAGGGTAAGACTGCGTACATCCGATCCGCCTTATCTCACCGTTGGTGGAAGCCTTTGTGACACTGGGGTAAATGAAAATGAAAAATGATGTAAATTCTGAATTCATGCACATTTTATAAGATAAAACATTATATACGCTATTCAAATGCCAGAATGCATTATGGATAACTAAAAGTGAATCGTGAATAATTTTGATAATCTTGAGAAAGAGATATGGACTATGAAAGTTTGTATAAAATTGTTTAAAATTAGTTGGTAGTTATAGAAATTTAAAATTATGAGATATTTGTAATAGCCAAGTGTATTCTAGGATATTCTTGTACTTTCCATATTATCTTTATATTATAAATATACCATGAGGCTACCTAGTTGGGTAAGCCATTATTCCCTCATACGGTATCAGTCGCTAAACGATTCTAAACCCTATTCTCAATGGCGGCCTTGACTTCCGACTCTACACACACGATCGATACATCCTCTTCATCAGGGATGTCGTCGTCTTCGATTGACACCCATGCAGCGCCGATAACAGCCACGGCCGCGCAACAGGTCTTCCCTCAGGCGCCCGCATCTACTGTGGTGCAGGAGCAGCCTCTCTCCATGCAGCCATATTTGTCCTGGGATTCCAATGCTTCACAGCCGGCTTCATCCTTTGCCTTATTTAATATGCCCGAACCTTTTACATGGACCTCTTCTCCAACTGTCCCACTGACATTATTCTCGTCCTACCCGGTGGCGTCGGCTTCTTCTTTTTCTTCCATGTTCAGCGGCAGCACCCTAGCGGACAGCCCTGCACCTTTCCGATTGCGCCTCCCCTCAGCCCGGTTTCAACAACAATACGCAATACATGTCTCACCTTGCGTCCCAATTGACGTTCTCTATACCAAACGTCACTAATATTGTGACTACACGACTTGATGCGGTAGAAGACTATCTTCCTTGGAGAACCCAATTCGAATCATTTTTGGTTTCTCATGGCCTTCTTGGAATCGTGGATAACACGATTGTAGCTCCACCGATGTACACTCTTGATATTTCAGGCCGCGAAGTCATGAATTCTGAATATCAACATTGGTTGCGGATTGATCAAACCGTCCGGTCTTGGCTTTTTGCAACTTTATCTCGGGAAACCTTAATTGACGTTTATGACTTGAAATTCTCCTCTCAGATTTGGACACGTCTGCAAAATCGCTATACTCATGCGAGTATAGCCCGTTCCATGGAGCTCAAGCGTCAATTAACTCATGTCAAGAAGAAACCGACTCAAACAATGGAGCAATATCTTCGCAAGATTAAGGTTATGGCGGACAATTTAGCCAACATTAATTCACCGATTAGTGATCGGGACCTTATTGAATATGCTCTTATTGGTCTTGGTCCACAATATGAGGCGTTAATCACGTCCATTACAACTGTCCCAGGAGGTCTTACTTTTGACAAGCTTTCACCTATACTTGACACACAAGAACGCATGCAGCAGTTTTTCCGCGATCAAGAGGGCTCTTCCACTGCTCACCAGGCGTTCGTAGCTGCTGGTCCGGCCCAGACTTCCGGCCAGCAACCTCGTGGATCCTCTGGTCGAGGGAGTGTGCCACATCAGCGGCAAGGTGGCGGCCGCGGAGCACGTGGCAGTCGCGGCAGAGGTCAGCGCGGCAGAGGTCGGGGGCAGTTCCCACCCGGGGCTTACTATGGCTCTTTTCCTGCATATGGGCAGCAGGCATTTCCGGGGCCGTATCCTCCTCCGCGTATTTTTGACTACAATCGTGGACATTCATCCTCTGGGTTCTCTAATGCCGGTATTTGTAATCTCCCTCTGGTGAATTCTACATTGTATACACCTTATGTCTGTGGTACTAATACTTTTGGTGCAGGTTCTTCATCAGTAGATCAATCTCATCATTCCCCAATGCCTCCCGTTGTGTGTCAATTGTGTTTTTCTCCCGGCCACTCGGCTCTAACATGTCACAGGTTCACCTCTGGATCCACTCCCGCTCTTGCTGCACTCCCTACAGGAGATACCAATGAGTTAGTGTGGTATCCTGATTCTGGAGCCTCGGCACACATATATGACACCCACAGAAGGTATTTTGACAAATAAATCTACTCTTGCAAACTCCATAACTGTGCAGGTTGCTAATGGAACTAATTTACCAGTGTCTACAATTGGTGATATTATTTTACCTACAGCTCAGCGCCCGCTATCTTTAAAATCTGTCTATCATGTTCCTCACCTAAAATTTAATTTATTGTCTATTCAAAAGTTATGTGAGGATAATGATTGCACGGTTATTTTTGACAAAAAATTTTTTTATGTTAAGGACAATCACACAGGGGCAACTCTACTCTGAGCTTCTCATAAAGATAGGATCTATCCATTTACCTCGCCAAGAGTGTCTTCAGCTTTATTTACCTTGTCTGCACCTGGTCAAGTCTGGCATACACGGTTGGGTCATTGTGGTGATAGCGTTTTGTCCACCTTGCGGCACACACATTTAATTAATAATACTAGTAGTTTTAATTTTTCATGCACTTCATGCAGACTTGGCAAATCCCACATATTGCCATTTCAAGATGTTTTACATTCTGATACTGCACCTTTACAATTAATTCACTCGGATGTTTGGCAATCGCCTGTTCTGTCACATTTACAGTTTAAATATTATGTTTGTTTTATTGATGACTTTTCTAGGTTCACTTGGGTTTATCCCATGCGTCGTAAATCCGAAGTTTTTACTCATTTTTGTCATTTTCAAACCTTAGTTGAAAATCAGTTAAATTGTAAAATTAAGTGTTTTCAGAGTGATGGTGGGGGTGAGTTTGATAATCATACTTTTTCTAATCACTTTCTTAAGTGTGGTATCCTTTTTCAAAAATCATGCCCGGACACCCCCGCTCAAAATGGTGTAGCAGAACGCAAACATCGTCGTCTTTTGGAATTAATTCGTACCATGCTTATTGAGGCACACTTACCACCCTCCTTTTGGGTCGACGCCCTTTATGCTGCTACATATATCATAAATCGTTTACCCACTCCTGTATTACATGGTCTTAGTCCGTATTATAAACTTTTAAATAAACAACCGGACTACTCCTTTTTACGGGTTTTTGGGTGTGAGTGTTTTCCAAATCAAATTGCCACTTTGGCAAATAAGCTATCACCTCGGTCTGTATGTTGTGTCTTTCTTGGCTACGCATCCGGCTACAAAGGGTATCGATGTTTTGATCCGGTCACCGGTAGGGTCTATATTAGTCGTGATGTCCTTTTCCATGAGTCGAAATTTCCCTATGCCGAAGTCTCCCCCACTGTTCCTACTCCACCGGTGTCTGCTCCTCCACCTCCCTACAGAGCCACCAACGTCCGCAAGCCTTCTCTCCAATATGCTCCTACACCGCATACTCATGTCACTACACCCTCCTCACAGTCCTCGGCTCCCAACACAACTCTCTAGTTACCCTCACCACTCCACGATTTCACTGCCTCGACCAGCCCATTCTCCACAAACCCGTCCACCCCCACTGCCTCGTCCAGCCCCACAGCCCCGTCTAGTCCTACCTCCTCATCAACTCCTTCGCCCAGCCCAGCCCCTTCTCCTCCCCCAGTTCATAATATTCATCCCATGCGCACACGGGCTAAGAATGGTATTTTTAAACCCAAAAACATTTTCTCCCTTACGGCTAGTGAGTGTCCCCCGGATCCTACGTGTTTTTTACAAGCAAACAAAAATTTAAAGTGGCGGGCAGCCATGACTGAGGAGTTTAATGCATTAATTGCTAATAAGACCTGGGATTTGGTACCTTACCACCCTAGCAAAAATGTGGTAGGATGCAAGTGGATTTATAAAACTAAATATAATTCTGATGGGTCCATTGAACGTCATAAAGCCCGGTTGGTAGCTCAAGGGTTCAAACAGCAGGCTGGAGTGGATTTTTCAGAGACTTTTAGTCCAATGGTTAAACCCACTACTGTTCGTCTTTTACTGTGACACCGCACCCGAACGTCCTTGAAAATTCAATTTAAAAATTGAATGTCTATGTATTGAATTTCCGATTTCCAAACAATTGTAAAATGATTAATGTTTTACATAGCGCATGATTGATTATTGTACTGTTCAAACTCGTATATTAGTGTCGGGTTTGCAAATACTTATTTGGGACTTATTAATGAACATAAGAGCCCAACATTACCTAAACAAGGTTACATAACCTTTCAAGACAAGTTGAGGAAGGTCGGGCGGCCCAAGCATTATTTTGGGCCCAACCTGCTAAAAATAGTAAGTATTCAAGAAGGGCGTCTGAGGCCCACTCGGGGGTGACCCACACGACTATTAGTCTAATAATATGAATGACAAATGTCAAAATAAGTGATAGAATGATTAGAGAAGAATACAAATGCCTATGGTCCCATCTTCGACATTATTGAGCTAAATAATGGAAGTATGATTTTCCTTCTATAATATTCATCATGTAAGTTATTGGGATGATCCTACACATATTGGGAATCAATAATATGATGTATGAAGTTGACTTGGCCTACATAAATTATAAGGAGTACAAAAAGACATCTCATGACAAGGATAAAACAATAGGGTCCATCTTTTCATTTTGGAAGTATTGGTAGGTATTTTGGACCCCAAATTGAATGGGATCATTTGGGAACCATCCCACATGACCTTGGTACCTGCAAGACAAAGAAAAACGGGTGAGACAACTATGTGGGGCGGACATTTGACTTGAGAGCTACAACATTACAAAAAGGAAATAAAAGAGGAGGTCCACACCATGTTTAATTGCAATCAAACACCCTACCCTTTCTTTTTGTGAACCACATGCTTAGATATCATTTTGAGAGCTCTTAAACACCTCCCACTCACCCCCCATTCGAACTGAAAGGGATAAGAAAGAAGGGAGAGCCTCACACTCAAAAGGGAAAGAGATAAGGGAGCTGGTCGCAGGGTTAATCTCCAGTTCGTGGAGCTCACTGTTTGGTTCGTATCTTGAGAAATACTCATTCAAAAGGGGTGTGTGAGGTGTCCACTGAAAGATCTCAAGAAGAGGGATTTATAGACGTGCGGTTTGAAGGAAACGTAGCAGTTTAAGGCCTCCAAATCGTTCGAACAAAACACAACCTCGCAGAATACGTTTTTGTATTCAAAGTAAGTTTGAATCCAAAACCTTCCTCTCTATTGTCTAAATCATATGAATGATTGAAGAGCTATTATAAACTGGTTGAAGTGTATAAAATGTTATTATATAGTGACTTTAATTGTTGGAAAGATTAGATACTAACCTAGACAAAACCTTGAAAGGTTAGGGAACGAATTCGCCGGAAAGACACCCGTTCTAGGGGCTGTTTCCGTATCGACATTTAGGGGTTGAGCTAGCACCTTGAGGAGGTTGTTTAACACTCATATTTAAGCAAGGAATCAGTTCTTAATCCACCTTGACCAAAGCTTTGACCGTTGGATCAAGAAGGAAGAGTTTAAAGCTCAATTAAGGTGAGGATCGACATCTAATTGCTTACAACTTGTAGGTTAAGCATGAGATTACCTAAATGCCTAAATCATAATTTTTCATGAATTATGATGATTGAATATTGATAAAATATTGATATAGTGGCCAAATAATGAAATTGGAAATGATTTGAAGTGGTATGGATAATATGAGATTTAATGAGTTATTAATGAACTATTTTGGTGAAATAGGCATTTTACTCATGTATTGAATATGTGGATACATAAATGGATATTTATGTATTGAAGTTGAATATTTAAGTTGTTGCTACATACTTATAAATATGTAGAGGATTACAAAATGAGGATGTTGTATGATGACAATAATCTTAATAGTATTGAAATACTAGTTGGTGATTATTTGAAATTGTTGATAGAATTGATCCTAAATATTGGATTGCATGAAATGCACTTGAATGTACTTCAAGTGTATAAGATGACTTAGTATGAAACTAAGGGTAAGTTATGGGAAGTCATTAAGAATGACCCAAGGTAGATTATTGAGATGTCAATTCTAGGCATAGGTTTGCTTAGGAATTGGACTATAATGAAGAATTAGAGCCGGACTCTATGATTGCATGGAAACGTAGTTGGGCCGAGCCCTTTCCATGTAATTGTTATTTGCATGGAAACGTAGTTGGGCCGAGCCCTTGCCATGTAATTGTTATTTGCATGGAAATGTAGTTGGGCCGAGCCCTTGCCATGTAAATTGTGATTTGCATAGAAACGTAGTTGGGCCGAGCCCTTGCTATGCAAATGTGATAGGATGTGATTGTGATTTGCATGGAAATGTAGTTGGGCCGAGCCCTTGCCATGTAAATTGTGATATGCATAGAAATGTAGTTGGGCCGAGCCCTTGCTATGAAAATGTGATAGGATGTACTTGACATAAAAGATTGCATAGAAATGTAGTTGGGCCGAGCCCTTGCTATGCAATGGTAATGTGATGAACTCTGTGGATTGTCGTGGCTTATAGTCACGGGGAACGGGAATAGTGATTTCTAAATGAATATGGGCCCACGGGCCGACTACTTGACTTTTATATAAAGAAAGTATATTTTCAAACGGGGTAACTTAGGGTTACCACTATATTGTATTATCACCCTATTTGAGGGTCTTGTGTTTGAAGTACTTGTTGTATATCCCTTAGATGCCATCCACACCAGTACTTTATAGCCGTATAGAGTACTGACCCCTTCGGGGGCGTCCCACCACCATTTCAGGTTGAGGCTCGAGCTTGCTACCTGTGCCCGTTGCTCGGGTGATCCTTTGGAGAGAAGACGTGGTTCGTGCCTTCTCCATTCTGTTTTGAACAATATTAAGCATGCTCATGGATATTTTACTAAAGAGCCTGCGTGCTCATGAATAGCCCTGTGTGGCCCTTTTGTTTTAAACAATGTTTTCCGCTGCGTTATGAATTACTTATTATGTTTGTTTATGGATGTTATGTGTGTGAATGATATTCAAGACGCCTTGTATAATATGAATGTGTTGGACTGCGGTTGACTATCCGTATTGTACGGCGGGTTGTTGACGTGTCCGGGGAGGTCCGGGGCGTGACATTTACTACCTCTTACTACTTCCTTTGGTTTGAGTGTCCGTCAGTTAGATGTCAAAAATGCTTTTGTTACATGGCTATCTCACTGAAGAAGTCTATATGCGTCAGCCACAAGATTTTGTTCATCCCTCTTTTGCACATCATATTTGTCGGCTACGTAAGGCATTGTATGGTCTTAAACAAGCTCCGAGAGCTTGGTTTCACGGGTTTAGTGGTTTCTTACTCAGTCATGGTTTTACACAGAGTAAGTCTGACTCCTCTATGTTTGTGTATCGTCATAATTCTTGCTCTATTTATATTCTTTTATATGTTGATGATATACTTATTACAGGAAATTCCTCATCCACAGTCTCTTCATTTATCTCTACTCTGTCTCACACTTTTGCTATGAAAGACTTGGGTGAGATTCATTATTTTCTGGGTATTCAGACGCTTCACACTTCTAAGGGGATGTTTTTGTCACAACAAAAATACATCTCCGATCTCTTGCGTCATTTTCATCTTCATACTGTTAAACTTGTCTGTGCCCCTCTTCCGTCTCGTACCACTCTCTCCCTGACTGATGGAGAACTTTTGGCCGATGGTACTGAATACTGCAGCATGGTAGGTGCCTTACAATATCTGACCATTACTAGACCGAACATTACTTATGCTGTACATTTAGTTTCCCAGTTTATGCATGCTCCGCGTAATACTCACCTATTTGCTGTGAAGCGTATCTACAGATATTTACAGGGTACTATTTCTGACGGTCTGTGGTTGAGGAAAGGGGGTGATACGTCTCTTATTGTTGCATACTCAGATGCAGACTGGGCAGGATGCCCCGATAGCTGCGGCTCTACTACAGGTTATGCTATTTTTTTGGGAGATAATCTGATTTCCTGGCGGTCAAAGAAACAACCCACTGTCTCTAAATCTTCTACGGAGGCTGAGTACAGGGCTGTTGCTTATACCGTTCAGGATACACTATTTATTCGATCTCTTCTTACCGATATGGGCTTCTTCTTACCCAAACCAGTTCAGCTCTATTGTGATAACGTCTCAGCATCGTATTTAGCAGTGAATCCGATACAGCATGATCGAAGCAAACACATTAAAATTGATTATTATTTTGTCAGGGAACAGGTAGCTCATGGTGATCTTATTGTAAAATATATTCCTACACAGTTTCAGTTAGCTGATATATTTACGAAAAACTTGTCTAGTCAGCGTTTTGAATTTTTGAAATCCAATTTGCGCGTCATGTCTTCCGCACAGATTGAGGGAGTGTAATAGCCAAGTGTATTCTAGGATATTCTTGTACTTTCCATATTATCTTTATATTATAAATATACCATGAGCAGGGGCGGATCCAGGAATCTTAGATGCACTGGGCTAAATAGAAATTATACTAGACTTAAATATTAAAGGGGTGGGCTAAATGCGAAAAATGAAAAAATTTACACTAAAAAAATTGAAAAATTTCTAAGTTGCCCTGGGCTTCAGCCTACCATAGCGTGTACATAGATCATCCCCTGACCATGAGGCTACCTAGTTTGGTAAGCCATTATTCCCTCATAATTTGATCACTCATTGTTAAATTGGTTAGTCTAATTTATTAAGTGTTACATATTAGAAGATCGATATGGATCTTGCCATCTTCATGTGGTTGCATTCTTGAGATAAAATGTGACTTCAATTACTACCAATATAAAAAAGTACACTACCTGACACCACATATACAATTATACAATTATACAAAGTATCTTAATTTGTATCGATAGTGTTTTATTGATTGCTTCCATTAGTTCCTTGCATCATGACTATATTTTGTTCAAGATCTAAAATAACACGATGAAATAAAGTGAGAATAGCTCTTACTCTATGTAAATTGACGTTTACTTTACTCCATCGGAGCCCTATTTTGTTTAACAACAACAACATCATCCAAGCTTTAGTCCCAAATGATATTGGGGTCGGCAAACAAGAATCGATACATGATATCACCAAAAGGAAAAGAAAGAAAATAAAGATAAAAAAGATAAGCTATTATAAAAAAAGATAATATAAAAGAGATGAATATACATATAAAAGATAAAATACAAAGAATAAAGTAATATTTATATATAAGGATAGAAATATAAAAACAAAACAAAGAAAGAAAGAAAAAGAGGGGAAAAGATTATACAAGATCACTCTTCCACACGAATACCCGCCCTCCATTTTGCTCTCTCCAAAGCCATACCCTCATCCAATCCAAGAAGAAGCATATCCATTCTGACTCCCCTAACACATGTCTGTTTGGGCCTTCCTCTCCCTCTCTTCCCTGCCTCTTCTCCACACATCTCAACGTGTCTGACAGGTGCATCACTCAGTCTTCTATGCACATGACCAAACCACCGTAAGCGCGACTCCCGCATCTTATCTTCAATAGGTGCTACTCCCACCCTTTGTCTGATTGTCTCATTCCTCACGCGGTCCTTTCTAGTATGCCCACACATCCAACGCAGCATGCGCATCTCTACCACACTCATCTTTTGAATGTGACATTGTTTCACCGCCCAACACTCCGTGCCATACAGTAATGCAGGCCTATTTTGTTCGTATACTTTTTTTTTAACAATTTCAAATTTTCAATCACCTTCATAACTCGAAGTCTCGAACTCCTCTAGCTTTTTATTTTCACTATCTTTCATGATGGGCACCACTTTTCAACAGAAAGTTTCATCTATCATTTCATATTTTTCTTTTTGTAAAAACTCACTTCTTTTTTTCATTTAAAAAGCGTATTACATGGGCAATTACTCTTTTGCTTTCTCAAAAGTCAAAACTAATGAATCGGCGTTTCAGATTCTGGTAAGTGATGTCTGTCTTTCGTTTGTTCTAATTACCTTTAGCGTTTCGTCCAAGTTCTGTTTAAAACTTTAAATAGAGTGGGGGTGCTGTCTGTCTTTCGTTTGTTCATAATTACACTAAACATTTAGAGGGGAAGAATAAAGCGGTTGTATAGGCTTTTGGGAGTCATCTTGCTAGGAATATACTGCGATTTCATGTTACAAATCATTCCCTGGTCCTTTACTCCGACCATTGTTTCACAGCGTAATTACATTCATTGTCCAGGCACTACCTCTTAATTACCTTACCTGGAGTTCGAGAGTTTCCTTTACAGAAAGTGAAAAACAAAACAATTCATTTTGAACACACATGGTGGAAAAAATGGGGATACAATAATTAGTTGAGTTATAAATATATATCAGATGGAGGGAGGATGGCTCTTCTCATCTATAGTGGCTTTCATGCAAAATATCCTTCACCCCCTTTCCACATCAGTACTTGCAGTTCACCGCCGCAAATATCTACAGATATTTAAAATGTTACTAGCACCTCCATGAATGATTACAAATAAAATTACAAGTGGTAATCTAACATGCGGTCAAGAATCAACATGGATCCGAGCATCAAGTTTAACAATATGGAGCTTTAGATATACCATACTTTGAAAGTAAACCAAATTTTCAGAATCAGCATTGCAGCAACTTCACCTTTCAATTTGGACCACCTTTCCAGTTCAAAGCTATGTTTGTCTCTCCGTAAGTTCTACACAAAACGCAGATCCAAAGACAAAACTAAAGAAAAGCAAACGCCATGAAAGGTGAAGGTCGCTGGCTTCTATCTATAAGAAATTATATAAAAGGAATAACTTAAGAGGTTCAAGGATAAACAAAAATTCGGTGTGTTGTTCCAATGTACCCAAATTCTAAATAAATATTTAGTCTCTTGAACAAACAGACAATAAATGATTTCTTGCTTGTAACTAGGACTATTTTAGTAAACATCATAGTACTCTTTCCTCGAAACTATATCCTAGACAATCTTAGTATTGCAACATGTCTCTCTAATCAATTATTTGATACACTGTAGGAAGGACAAGAAGTAATTAATCTAAACAGTATATTATTTTTAACGATAATGCACATCAGCATTGGAGTTTCCAGAAAGGAAGATTGACTTTTTCAAATGGAGTATAACTTCATTTGTTTGTTTTGTTTAGATACACTCAACCAGTCCACCAGACTAAAACTGGCAAACTCTTTTTTAGGATTTATAAGTTCATGATTAAAAATAATCAGAAGCAATAATTATCCGCTAATACGATAAGATCAGCAACTACTGTATGTTACCTTGGAGTTCTCATATGAAGCAGTATGAACACAAATGCGATGAAGATAAATGTAGATCCCACATAAATATAGGCCACTCCGAGGAAGTTGTTGTGGCCTCCTAGCCAATTAGATGTTGAAAGAACAAGTTTCTTCCGCCCACCAAAACTATAGGTATTATAGTTGTTCAAAAGCTTCACCACTATAACATCACCTGCATGTAAGTCTTCCTCAACTCTTCCATATAACTTTCGGAAGCTTGGGAGGGCAGCAGTTCGCATCCATACAATAAGATCTTCCTGATCACTCAGCTAGTTGATGGTTGAAGCCAAAGACACAAAAATAGAAAGGTAATTAAAAAATATGCAGTACATGTATAGATGACAATAAAAAATTCAATCAAGGGAAAAAGGAGTAAGATGAAACTACATGTGACAATTTAGTTGAGACTAAAAATATAAACATTACTCAAGGGACTCCTGGCAATTCATTTGGTAAAAGACGTTTTGGGCGCTCTCACTTTACAGGAAAATGATGTGCATACTCAGGGCATACAGAAAGCAATTTTCAGTTTGTATTGTTTATATACATATTGTGTACGGTTATGTACTTACCAATACACATGAGAAGACGACAGTATATTAAGCTGCTATGAACCTGACAGTTGAAACTTTAAGGTATAGAAAACTGAGTTCCATTAGCATAAGAAAACACTATTTCGATTACACCGAGTATTCGGTGCTTGAGTGCTTCTTTGGCCAAGCATGAGATTCTTCAAAAAGAAACTCTTGTCTCTATTTTACCAGCTTCTTGAATAAAGAAGCTTTTGCTCTTAACTATCATAGGCAGCCTTTGTGTTATTATTTTCTACTTTAAACTTGGAGTAGATAGGTGGGCTCCAAGTGTTGTCCTCCCCTTTTTCTTGAGTGTGTGTGTGTGAGTGGGGGGATATAATGTTGTCAAAATAATTTCTACAGCAGAATTGCCAAAAGATTAAGTTTAGCTGATTCTTAGTCAACTGTTTGAGCATAAAAGTTAAATCTTACAGGAATGCTAGGATCTAACTTTGCGCCACCAATTAAGGACCCATTCTGGAAGTTATACGGATACACATGCTTCCCAAATTTGTGATCACGGTCGCTCCTCCATGCAATGTTCTTTCTGTTGACTTTTATTTCATCAACCCCGCGGAATAAGTCATATGTGTCATTAAACACGCTCCATGCAATCAGGCCACATGGGACAATTGGTAGACCATTATTAGTGTCCTGCGGTTTGCAAGAGCCTGTATGGTTATATTTCAGCCCATGTAACAGTTGTTGATCACTTCTGCTTTTCACATACCTAGATTAAGATTGTAAAGTAGAGTAAAAATGCATGGTAAATAACACAAGAACTGAGTTTCTGAAAGTGAAATAAAATGACCAGAAGCAAAGACTAAAGGCAGCAATATAGAAATGGATGATAACTTATCAAAAACTTCAAGCATAATTTTTATAAGAATAAAGATTTGAAAAAGCTGTTAAAGCCTCACGGCATTTTGTTTATATGAGGCAAGGCATAAGCCTTGAGGCGGTATGGGATGTAAGCTTCAAAGTATACAGCCTTGAGGCGGTTTGTGACACAGAATTTTTAGGAAATAAAAAAGTCATAAATTTAAAATCTGAAAAGCCACTTGGCCACAAAACAAAGTTTATACTTAGGGTAACCAAAACAAACACAAGTTACATTTAAACACATAATTCAGAACTGAGGCATAGGCCATAACCCAATGCCATACAACGCAAGAGGATAGACTACAAAGAGCACTTAAAAGTATCCTTCCTCTCATCTTCACTCAAGGTTCATCTGAAGAAACAGGCTATCTGAAGTTTCCATTATCTTCATTAGTTACATTTCTATCTATTATCTAAGCAGCCAAACAGTAAAAGCTGCGTGAAGAAAAATGTGTTAATTTTTATGTGACACATATATTTTAGGGTTTCTAATGGACTTAAAGAGTGCTGGCTATTGAATAAAAAGGCCCAGTATGAATTTCATTTTCAAATGATAAGCCCAGGATCAGATCAGAAGTTTAAAAAATAACTTTGAGACTTAAGCCTCAATAAATCTGAGGCGCATGAGACCTCAAAGGGTACGCCTTTGAGGCATAAGCCTCAGTCCATCTGAGGTGTATGCCTCATTTAAAATGACCAAGGCTTAAGTGTCCATCTGAGGTGAATGCCTCATTTTTGTGCTTTTTTTGCCGCGTCAAAAATGACTTTCTAACAACGTTAAGAATATTTGCCAAAAAAAAACGTTAAGAATATGGATGACTATTATAATAATTATTTAATTTGTTGTTATTATAACCATTGCATGTTGATGTGGGATTGTCACATCTGATTTCCAATATTTCTTTTTTGATTGGATATGGCAGAATATTCAATACGCTATGCTTTCTAATAATACTGCACTAGGGCACTTACTAACTACATTACATGCATTTACGGCATTCAAGTCGTGGACATCAGTTATGACTTATGAGCCATTACAGCACTTCATATCATCTCTAGTGAAACAGTGTATGAGAGACAAAAATTTGAACACATAAATTCTCTCTTGATTTTCATAGTTTCTATGTTTTGGTGTCTGTGTCTATGCAATTTCAAGTATAATGTCTATAACTAGACACTGTGTTTGACATTCGTGAAAAAAATTTACTTAAAAAAACTGAAGAAAGGGAGGGAAATATATTTATATTCTTTTATGTATTCATCCATCATTCATGCCATGTGCGTACGGTGCATATTGTTGCAATAGTGATGCTCTCACTAAATGCATTTCTGAAAGGAACCGGGCTAATAATAATAATATAAATAATAATAATTGTATGGGTAGTAATATAAATAATAATAAATAGAAGGGAAGGGAGGAATAAGGGGTTAGGCTGGAATTATGTAGAATTGGGCTAGGAGAGCAGGACCTCTCGAAGAGTCCCATCTCCCAACTATCTGTTTCTTCTCTTTCTAACGATTTCTGCACTTGTAACTCTGCGATCTTCACCAATATACTACTGATTTCTGTAGAGAAGAACTGTTGCGCGTGCGCAGATGGAGAATAGCACAGGAAATTTCGAACGCCATGTCACGAAGATGGAAACGATGTTGGACGAGATGATAAATCATCTGCGTCAACAATGTCGCCAGCGAGGACGATCGAGGACGGTTAGAAGCTGCCAGAATTCCAGAATCAGCTCAGCATCATTATTCGTCGTTGCTCCCAGTTCGAAGTCGCTAGCTGATTCTAACGGTTCGCAGATGTCATCGCAAGCCGCTTCAGCTTCTTCACGAACAGATCTCCTCAATTTGAAGGCATCGTTGCTAAGTGCGCATGTTTGGTCTCAGCCAAAAGCAACTTCTCCCAGTTCGCCAACTTCGCAACGAGCAGATGTCCCCGGTTCACAAGCTCTGTTGCGAGCTGCTACTCACCGTTCACAAATTTCAACGTCCCCTAGGGAGTCAGATAATCAGTGGAAAACTTCCCCTGAAGGTATTATTTCTTCGCGCCTCAAAGAAAAGGTAGAAGAAGAGAGAGTCCAATTGGGTCCTAACTCCTAATAGTGCTGAGGATGTTCAGAGGGTCGCCAATCTAGAGCAAATTTCCGCTAGAGAAGCTGATAAAAGTTCTCTGGAGCCGAAGCCGCTGTCCATGGTCGTTACTGGTGACCCTGGAAAAATGGAGAACAGTCAGAGTGTTTTGAGCCAGAAGGTCCTCAGGCTCTTATTCCTGGAGTTCGTTCTGTACTTCTGTGGCTACAAGAGCTATTGGCTCTCTTATAAAGGAAATGGGAGAAGAAAACTTCCTAGACTTGGTGCTTTGGCTGTTGGAGAATCTTAGATCGGATGGCACCACTGTTGTGCACAATTTCTGTTGGCTGTTGATGTTTTATAAGACAAACCCTGCTTTTCATTCATTCATCATCATTACCCCAGTGCCGCATAAGCTCCCACCTTCGGTGGGGATAAGACAAACCCTGCTATTACCAATAATTCTATATTACCGATTATTTGGGACTCAAATGAAAAACGGGAGTAGATAAGAAATTAAATCTTCCAGCAAAGAAGAAAACAGACATTTGGACAAGAATTTATACCAGTGAGACTACTAGAGACCCCAAAGGTGCTTAGGTTTCAAATTATTCTATTGTTACTGTTATGACTGGGGTAAAGCGTTTGATAGAGAGTGTGAATGAATCCTTTTATTGAATGATGGATACAGTTCCTATCTCACTCTGGCTCACATTTTTATTGATTGATTGAAGTATGTTTCATCAGCCATGGTGCATCAATAGGATTTTGGCATGGGGATATCAAGTTATTAATTGAGGACATTGGGGAGCAGAAACCTATTATATTCTGTGCTGATCTACGAGTTTTAGAGAGAGTCTATTCAGATGGTGAAGAAGATGCGAACAGCTCTGAATTGGGCACTACACTATATTCTAAACCCCAACCATATGATTATCAAGCAACGACACCATCAAGACAGCTGTTGACAATTGAACGCAGTCCTCCAATTTAAAAGGTTCGTGAGCAGGCTGTCTGGGCTTTAGGATAGGTTTCTTGTGATGCCCCAAGCTGTAGCAATCGGGGGTCTTGGTCATGGTGCAATCCTACCATTGCTAGTTCAGTCAAATGAGCATTCGGAGCCTTGTATGTTGAGAAATGCTACAGGGACTTTGTCAAGCTTCTGGCCAGGCAAGCCACCAACACCATTTGCCCGGGTCAAAGCTGTATTGCCAGTCCTTCAGCCATTCATCCACATGAAAGAGGAAGAGGTTTGGACTGAAGTTTGCTGGACAATATCTAATATCACTGCTGGGAGTAGAGATCATATAAAGGCAATTATTGAGGCATATATCATTATTCCTTTGGTACACCTCCTTCAAAATGTAGAAGTTGACATTGAGAAAGAAGCTGCCGGGGCTATCTCTAAGCCCACATCGGGAGGCTCTCATGATCAGATTAGGTGCTTGGCAAGTAACGGCTGCATTAAGATGCTCTATGATCTCTCGTTCTGTCAAGATCCAAGAATGGTTACTATATGCCTTGAAGGGCTGGAGAACATTCTGAAAGTAGGCAAAGGGGACAAAGAAAGTGGGTTGAATAGTGGGGTGATGTTAATCATGTTATATGCGCAGATGGTTGATGATTATGAAGGACTAGACAAGACTGCTAATTTCCAGATTCAGGACAACAATGAGGTCTATGATAAGGCTGTGAAGACCTTAGAGAAATGCTGGTCTGAGGAAGTGAGGATAAAGGGTCAAGTGCTGAAGCTAGAGATACATAAATCTGTGATTTATTGAGAAGGAAGAGGCTCAAGAATGAAGAGGATGGTCAGGGCTGTTACCTATCACCCACCTTGAGGACAAGGTGGTTGTCTAAGGGAAGATATGATAGGGACCGGGCTAATAATAATATAAATAATAATAATAATAATAATAATAATAATAATAATTGTACGGGTAGTATAAATAGAAGGAGAGGGAGGAATAAGGAGTTAGGCTGGGAGAGCGGGACCTCTCAAAGAGTCCCAACTATCAGTTTTTTCTCTTTCTTACGATTTCCGCACTTGTAAGTCTGCGATTTTCATCAATATACTACTGATTTCTGCTGTTTTGGTTGAATCTCTATCAATTTCCTCCGCGGATTCCATCTATGTATATGACTATGAGCGCGCATGCATGAAAGATGTCAGGGAAAAGAAATATTTGACTTAATTTCCTTATCGTTCCTATTTTTCCTGTTTGATTGTCAACTTTAGTTTCGTCAAACCCCAGGGACATGTTTGCCTATAAAAGGTAGTAATATAGGGAGTTCAATCAGTTTGGATATCAAACCATTCTGGTCTTACCCAAACCTTTTTATGCATCACTGACAAATATCAAATGAACATTGCATAGTCAATAGTTGGTTCCTTGCTAAGGCAGTGATTCCTATCAATGTGCACACTGAGATTTTATCATGTACTCCCTCCGTCCCAATTTGATGATCCCGTATTTCCTTTATGGGCCGTCCCAAATTGATAGTCCCATTTCCCTTTTTGGAAAGAAATATGTGGTCCACATCATTTCACCTTTTTCTACTCAAATCTCAACCACAACTTTTACCTTTTCAACCACTTCCTTAATCTTTGAGCCCAAAAGAAATGGGATCATCAAATTGGGACGGAGGGAGTATATATTTATTCTCTAAAGGATAATTTCATTAAAATCAGTGTCATAGATGGTCCCCTCCTCAATAACCAAAAACTAATATAACTGAAAGAGAAACAACATTGCCACTACTTTAACACTGAAACCACTATTTAATCTCCACCATTCCACAAAAAGATAAGACAACATTAATAAGCATAACAACTAATGCACTGAGTAGGAAAAACTCTGTTCTCAAAACCCTAGTGGATCATTGCATGATTGAGCCAAATTTATTATCACACTGGATTTGGATGATCCAAGGTTTCTACATTCAATGGGTGCAGTGATTTTTTCTTTCTAAATTTGAGTATTTTCCAAGCATACTTTCCATACCAGGTAATTTCCGTTTGCAATAGAATTGTTATTTTTCATATTATTCAATTGGTAATTGTAATTAAGTTATAGCTGTGATTCATACAAGTTCAAGTAGAGAATCTCACCTTCTGTGGTTTTGATAGTAGTTATCAAGCTGATAATAAACATATATTGGAGCCTTCATGTGCTTAGGAACCTGTAAAGGAAAATGCAAACAAAAAGTTAAAAGAATGCAAGGTAAAATACATGTAATATAAAACCCACGATTTGAGTCTCAAGCATCATTTGCAGTTAGCAATCTTGTCTTTGTTTCTCGAGATTTGAGTCTCAAGCACCATTTGCAATTGGCCCTTTCGGACTTGAATATACATTTCAAAAAGTATTTTTGCTCATAAATAAAATGTTTTGAATATTCTTGTAAACTCTGTCCTATTTGACCATATGGATCTATATGGACAACCCTGTTTTATTTAGTATGCATGTTGACTGATACAATGTTACAGAGAAGTAACCTTCAAGTATCGGGTACAATTTTTGGAAACTGAGTCATCTTTGATATATGACACTTTGCTGTTCCTAAATGGTACAGGTACACACTCAGTATCATACCCATCAACAATTTCAACAACCTGCAATACAAACATAATTAGTCCTTCAAGGTAGTATGGAGCAAGAAGATAAAGAAAACTCCATATTACTATCACTAGATGTTAAACAAAACTATTACACTTTGTGAAGTATGAAGGAAGAAAAGCCCCATGGGAATAAAGATGAATCCTATGATGAAAAATGTTGAAATAACCTGCAAGGATGATATAGCAAAGGATCACAATAGTAACATACCAAATACCAAAGCATAGAATTTTGATTGCCTACCCATGCCGGTGTTAAAACAGGTTTACAGGCTGGGAGATTTTGTTGCGTAAACTGGTACACAGCTGCAAGTTATGGATGAGTTTCAATAAGGAAGCAATTAGGATTAGTAACTTTGATCAACCAACTTCAGCGAAGATATATATCATTTGCAAGTCATGGAAATAAAGAAATGCCAACTACAGATCCTATTAGTGTCAAACATAAGAAATATGTAGCTGTTTCAACTCCAAAAAACTTGGTAAAATCTTCTAAAATATTCAAGAGCTCTCAAAATTTTAACAACTTCCTATACTTCCCATATTTGTCCTAAGCCTGCTGTCTTTACGGAAACAACCACTCTAATCCTAGGGATAGAGGTAAGGAGTGTACACATCACCCCCTGGACCCTGCCACCCAGTGGGACATACCGGTATGTTTGGTTTGGTTTGGTTTGGTTTGGTTTAGTGTGATACAAAATGGTATTGGTACCTCATAGTCAGTCTCCTCCTGAAGTCCATACAGTAGGAGGAGCGCATAGATTGACCAATGCTGCAGACTTTTGCGTAGTTGGCAGATTATATTGTCATGGGCAGACTACTTTAGTTGAAGTTACACCGTCATTTTGAGAGTTCAATTACCTTAACATTAATTCAAACAATATTTTTATCTAAATGTAAGCTGAAGCAAAAGAAACTCAAGAATCGGTAAGGACTTGCCTTTTCTCCATCCTCGATAAGGAACTGCAGAGGAACTACTGGGCTCATCCATTCAATTCAATATTTAAATAATCCCTGAACAAAAAAATGGAGAAGAATATAAAGGAAAAGAAAGCAAACTGGACTCCAAACTTAAAATCACATGGAAATTGATCTGTACAATTGCTTCCTTGAATCGAGCGAAGAAATGAGCAACAACTGTAAAAAATCAATCCAAGATGAAGAGGGCGTTTCTTAAAGCCTGAGGTAAAAAACATCGGAATTTCAGTTTTCACCTGAAATGAAATTGTGTTTTGGGAGAAATGCGATTAGATATTCGCAAGAGAGGGCAAACAAGCGTTGAAAGGCAACGAATTTCAAAAGAAAGAAATCCTCTGGTCAGAGAAAAGCACATGAAAGTGTATGTACTCGTAGAAACATACAAATGCATCAAATGCAACGAGATTGCTTCTACAGCGGTTTCCTTGATTCTCTAGCTTAGAAACTAGGAATGGAAATGCAAGGTCGTTAAATCCTATTTTTGAATTGAATAGGCATATGTTTGGTAAGATTTTACCAAACATATTTTAATAATTATAAAATAAATAAATATTAAAATTAAGTTGCAAGTTAATGATATTATATCATTTCATTACATAAAATTATACCTAAAATGTCAAAAGCAAGATTTATAAACTGTTTTTATAATGTAAATGTATTGAATAATAAACATATGTAAAACATAAAAATAATTAAGTAACACAAGAATCCATTACTTTTATAAATAAACTATTCATATTATTATTATAGGAATTATGTATCAATTTGTAGTTGTTAATTTTAATAAATTTGAACCATTTTCACCAAAAACAACTTATTACGATTTTGCTATGATTTCATACGATTCTACACGATTTTAAGACGATTTTGTACGATTTTATGATTTTACGATTTTACCTGCGATTTGAATCGCTTTATTAATGTAGAATCGTAAAATCGTACGATTTTACGATTTAAATCGAGATTTTAACAACCTTGGGGAAATGTTATAAAATGGGGAATGGTGAGTTTGATTGATTTTTTTCTTATATTATCCTCCCTTTTTTTTATCGTAACATGTTTAATTTTACACTATTCACATGTTTTACTTTGACTACATTTTACTCTATTATTTTATGAAAAATTATTTTTTTAAATAAATATTGTCCAATTCATTTCATTACAAATTTTCAAAATCTGATTTTAATTTTTTTTTACTAATAGAGATTAAAATATAATTATGGTCAAAGATGTGTATTGACAAGTGTGAAATGTTGACCGTTGCAATTAAAAAAGAACGGAGGAAGTATTACGTATTTTTTCTTCGACGGTTTTCAGTCCACTAGCATACTTCCGTAGTTATAAAATATACAGAGATCAGACATTTACTAGACCAGATCAAACTAAATTAGACCAGATCAGACCAGACCAAAAAACTTCAGTCCAAAAGAAAACATCCTATGTACTTCGTATTCATATTAAAGAGAAGTAAAATCAGACTCGTTATTCTCTCCCATCTTCTAGGAATAAATTAGAGCACTAGAAGTATTTATACACTTTTATTCAAACACTCTAACTTCTGCTTCTATTCCTTAAAAAAGAAGAATTAATTTTAAGAATCTTATCCAAACACCCTCCAAAATACACAAAGACCAGACATTTATCGTACTATACCAACAAATTTCTGTCCAAAAGAAACATGCTTAGTTGGTTCTTGGATTTTATTTTAACAAATTCGTAAAGTAGGAGTAAAAATAATGCAACATTAAAAATAGAAGTAATGCACCCTTCTCTTCCAAAATAGTAAAAAATTATTATCCCTTTTTGGTGGTTGATAGAGCCGAATCTTTTTTTTTTTTTACAATTCCTTACTCATACTTTTTATTTGACGTAACAAATGCAGTAAGGCTGTTAGACTAGACTATGTTATTGCGGGGTTAATAACCTAAAAGGATTCATGAGATATTTTCGGTTTAGTCTCATCCCATTGTAGCATTAGACTATTCGTTTGTTTGTTTCTTTGCTTTTATTTGATTTGAATAAATTTGTTATTTGATTTTAAAAACAAATACTTTGTAATTTTTATTTAACGGTATTTTCCAATTATAAAAGTAATAATTAGTTTTATTTAGGATCCTGAAATCATATTTCCATATGCAGGAATTTAATATTAATGCTATATTTGGCAATATTTTACATTTGTGGAAGTAATTATTCCTATTTGGGATAAAACATGTTCTTATTTATGCTAAGTAGGCAGTACCTTGTAGGTTACTCCTTGTATAATATTGGACTGCAGCACATTCGAAAAAAACAGTCAAAAACATTCTTCCCTATATACGGCTTTAGTCATGCATCAATATTCCCTTCCCACATATACGGGCTTGACAATTAAGAAATTAATTAATTAATAATTAATTAATATTATTTGTACACAACATCGATCTCTCATAATATAATTTACTCAATTGGCAACTAAAATGATGGTTTGTGTTATATTTAATTGCATTTGAGACGGTGAATTGGTTTGTTTGGTGTAGTGAATGAATCTGTCAATGGTATGCAGAGGCGTGGAGTGTGCTCTGAGCATCGCAGCAGCTTCGCCGATGATATTGTGCCACGTAGATGTCCACAAGAATGACATCACTTTCATTATACCACACAGATTTTGGAGCAACTTCCAGTAATACGTATAACACTATAGTCCGTATTATTTAGTTTAAATTAGTTCAATCATTCTTCGGGTACGGGTAGACACCGGCTTACACTCCACCCAATTGTTTTTGGTGTTTGTAATGACAATTGTCTGTGACCCCGAGAAAATTATGGACAATTCAATTCACTTTCCCGCAATCACATATATTTCTATTTACTAAAACGAAAACAAATTATCTTCGCACAAATAAGAAACACTTGGCGTGTAAACCTGTGTGTAGAGATTAATTATCTTTCAATTGGAGTAGTGTTGTGTAGATACAAGCTAAGCATTATAATTATGATTTAAAAATAGCTTAGCCTCATTTGGTTGTTTGTCTTCCCGGCCTAATTGTTAAATTGCGATAAGAGAGTAGCCCATTACCTATGTGTTTGTTAGTATCCTTGTAATGGCTTTGTATATGATTGTGTGCATTTTGAGTTATTACTCGGGCTCATGAATCAAACTTAATTTGGTTTAATACCATATATTCATATGTAGTACTCCGTATTTGAATTTTCATACGTAATTTGTATAACTGCCGATTGGAGTGAGTCAGTGATGAGATGGTTTTACAAAACAAAACATGTTTTACTATCCCATTTTTCACTTTTTAAGGGAATAGAACTTATAGAAGCTTACATACGTTTTTCTCGATATACTCCGTATAAAATATTGGTGTTGTCGTTGTATTGAGAAAGTTTCTACTTGTCTTTGAACAGATTCATTAAGCTCGTGGCTTTTATTGGAGGATCTTAAAACCTTTTAGTTATTTTTCTCCCTAATGGAAGTCCACTGTGGCGATTGGTGGTCATCATAGATGTGGTACTAATTAAAGATAATCTTCTTAAACATGCACATACATACACTTTATCTTTAACAATAAAATAAAAAAAGTCTTGATTATTAGTAACAATATGTGGTAACTTTTTGTTTTTGTTTGTACGATTAAGATTGTTAACATGGTTCAAGCTTCAAGCGTAGGAGCAGCAATGTACACTTATTTTCTCCTCCGGGATGGGAATTCTCATGTGAAATGGTGACCAGTTTGTAAAGTGTCGCCGGAATTATGCTCTAAGGTTTTAGGAGCCACCATTGCCGGTGCGCTTGGCCTACTCTTCAACTTCTCCCTCATGTGCTACACAGTTTATATTATTGTCGATCCTCTTCTCCATTATGCCGACCAAAGAGGATGATAACATTAATTAATTAGTAGCTAAATTTATATCTCTAGCTAGCAATCCAAGCATGTAGAATATATACTACGTACTTCGTATAATATTATATCATCGTGACTATTATTGGATAACTTATACAAAGTATATGCTAGGTCTTGTTCTCATGCGATGACTTTTACAACATGTGTGAGAGGTATTGGCCCTATGGGCCTTGGCCTTCTTCTTAATTTGTTACTGAGACTTGGGCCTTAGTCATTTGGTTACCACCCAGCCCACCTGCTCCTATCTTGGCCTGTTTCCTTTGTGCCCCGGTGCTTACCTACTTACCTTTCTTGGGCTTGATTGACCCGACTACGTATACCCTTTGTCTGCCCTTTCTTCCTTGAGTGAGCCGCATATGTGTAACCCTAGTTCTAGAGCCTTCCGTTTAGAGAGAGTGTCCGGTTTCTCTCTAGTCAGTCTCCTTCTTCCGCACCTCTCTTCACCTCCTTCGTGTGTGTGCTCTGTGGGTTCTAGGGAGAGGTTTGAGAGGGTAGCGGGGTTCGGGTTTGGGTTCTGGTGCCTTTGGTGGTGGTTCCCGGTCCGGTAGGTCCTTTGTGGTGGTTGTGAGTTGTTCAGAACCCTTGTTGGGTTCGTGTGGCTGGAGACCTGAGCTGGAAGATCTAAAAGCCTTACAGTGGTATCAGAGCTTGGTCCTCGTTGTCTCTCGCCGGAAAGCTCACCTGTCAACCCGACAGCTACTCACCTCTGACGACAACGGCTCCTCCTCGTCGTGCATGGTAAGACGGATAATCCCCCTGGATATCTGCTCAGGTAAATTGGCTTGAAACACCTTAGGTGCACGGGGTGCCTCCGGATTTCTTTGTTTGATTATCTGTGTAATCTGGTTGCTGAGGTCTGTGGGAGTGTTAACCTGGATAGTTTGTTCTTTCTAGAGTGTTGTGTGGTCTATCTGTGCATAACCAGAGTGGTTATCCCTTGATTGGTAAAGGCATGTGGTGTTAGGGCTAGGGGATACCCTGCCAGCCACCAGAGTGGCCTCGGAACTGCGTGGTCCTCTAGTCCGCTGCTTGACCCTTTCTAGGGTTTCCATTTGACTTATCTGTGTGACATTTTCCTTAGGTTTCTGAGTTGTTTGCCATGACTACTAATCAATATGGAATGTTACCCTTTAATGGGAAAACTGCTTTGGATATATGGAGACAAAAGATTAAATGTGTTTTAATTTAGCAAAAGGTTTTCAGAGTTGTCACTGGCAAGTTTTTAAAAACTGAAAATGAGGTTAAACAACTTGAAATGAATGAAACTGCCTGTTCCACTATTTATTCAAATCTTTCTGACTCTGTGTTAAGGAAAGTTGGTATACTTGACTCTGCCAAAGAGCTATGGGAAAAGCTTGATAGTCTGTATACTGATACCTCCTGACCTGGCAAACTATTTTTACTTGAATAATTTTTCCGATTCAGGCTTGATTTCACTAAGGACATAGATGAAAATTTGGATATTTTTAACAAACTTATTCAAAATATCAAAGAGGCTGGTGACAAGCACATTGATTACTATACCCTAATTATTTTTCTTATTGCCATCCCAGATTCCTATAGTG